GCGTAAGTTATTCAAAGAAGACAGCTATCCTAGAAAATCAAAAACAATCTTACACAAAACGGTTAGGGTGCAAATGGGTAGTCAATGCAACTTGTCCGAAAACAACCAAAAAAATTAAAATTACTTCTTGTAACCTTGAGCATTCTAATCATGAAATCCATCCTGATACTCTTAATTTTGCTTCCTACTATCGGCAATTTCTTGATGAAGTAAAACAAGAAATTAAGTATTATACTTCAAAGGGGTTAAATATGCGAACTCAGCTTTCTTTACTTGAAGACAAATATCCTGATATCCTTTTTTTACCAAAAGACTTGTCAACTACAATACAGTCTTTTAAAAAGCATGATAAAGTTGTTAATGAAGCCTCTGCTCTTCTGGAAACGCTTCTTAATAACAAATCACAAGACTCAAGTTGGGTTGTTCATTAGCAATTAGATCCTATTTCTAATTCACTGGAATTAGTTTTCTGGATGGAACCTAGCCAAGTTGAAACATGGATTCGCTATCACGATGTCATTATGAATGACAACACATATAGTACAAATTATTTCAATATGGCGCTTAGTCTCTTTGTGTGTATAAACAATTATAACAGAAGCCATCTTATTGCTCAAGCATTGATGAATAATAAAACTACTACAAGCTTTGAATGGGTTCTTTCTAAGCTTTTGGAATCTACTGGCTGTCAACCACATGTTCTTATTACTGATTCAGATCTTGCAAATGAAGCCGCCATTGAAAACATAATGGCTGAAACCTATCGAATGAATTGTATATATCACATTAGTTAGAATCTCTCCAAAAATCTGAAAAGTAAACTTGGATCAAATTGGGACAAGTTTATAAAAGACTGGTACAAGATGCGTAATAGTTTGTCTAAACAAGATTTTGAATCTGAATAGAGATTACTTATTGACAGATATCCAACAACAAAACCTTATCTTGAACGGACGCTTTATAGTACAAAAGAACGATGGGCATTGGCTTGGATTTCAGATAGATTTACTGCTGGAGTTCAGTCTACACAAAGAGTAGAAGGAATCAATGCAATTATTAAATCTGGTATAACAAGTAAAACTAGTTTATCCAAACTTGGTAAAGCTTTAAATTATCAACTTGCTTGGGAATCAATGTATATTCGATATAATAATTGGTTCTCAGCTTATGCTAAACCTACTCATATAACTGTGTCAGCTCAATTATTGCCTGAAGTTGACAAATGGCTTGCAGAATTTTTAACACCGCCTGTTTTATCATTACAGAAAACTGAAATAGCAGAAGCTCTTTGGTATAGC